ATTTTGTATCATTATTGCACAGTTGACTTTAGATTGAAGATTGCACATTTTCAACTCTGTGTCTGTGTGAGTGACTTGCAGGATCTGCCAAAGACACAGGGTGATTCCCCCATCCTTTATGCTCCTTTTGGGTTGCTGTCCCTATGGCCCCCAATAATCTTTCAGCCTTATCTCATTTCCATTCAACCTTCTCTCATTTCCATTCAACCCATCTAAATAACTGTTAGTGCCCCCAAATTATCCCAAAGCCCATGGCTTTCCGAATTGCTGCGCTCTTATTGGCTATACACTCTCCCCATGTAGAGACTAAAGTGATAGTGAGTTTGTATAAACCATCAATCCTGGAGTCCCTACTGCCCTCCTATGTTCTGTTAGATCCCACCCTTCTAACATGAATTGTCCCCCATCACTGCAATCATTCCCTCAGTGACCGAAACCAAGGAAGTCTATCCCCAGACTTTAGTTGCCCACTTTCCCCAGGATTCTATGGTCCTCCCCATGAAGAGACTCCTGACCAGTATTGACTAGATCCTCATGATTAACCATCGACCATCCCCTGAACTGACTTAGCAGGGCAGCCTCCAATTGAATGTGCCCAACCCCCAGCTGAATTTTCCACAGTACATGGAGTGGCACATGTATAATCACAGACTGACCATGGCCCAATCCTGGGCTGCAAGGGCCTGCATCCTTGGACTCTGATAGAGCTCACTATTGTCAATCCCTGGAATGGAATCAGATAAGTCCCTTTATTGATGGTGATGGCATTCCCTAATTGACTATAGACCCCCTTAATCCCACTACTAATTGCTCCCCTTTGATGTCTGGACATGGCTGTTTGATTGTTGCACAATGCCAGTGTGTGTTTGCCATGTAAGCTGTTAGCACATCCTCAAAGTGTGACTTTGACATAGCAGCAGCACGTCCGCAGACTGCTTGGAGCTCCCAAACGTGACAAGCTGCCTATCCCTCCTCTGCACTAAAAAGCAATGCAACCTACAGAGGGTGGCAACCTTCAAGTAAGCACAAAATGAGTGAGTGCCAAGAAATGGACCTAAGAGCCATGAGGTGCATCCTGTTTAGATGCATGAGATATGTGTGTGTCCATGATCACGAGGTAACCTGGCAGAGCATGCAAGTTGTAAGTGTCCCTGAGCTCCAAAGGCTGAAGTGGTACCACAGATGGACTGAGAGCAGTCATGGTAGTTGTGAGGCTAATGGTTTGCTGATGCCAATTTGCATGGATGAAGACTGGAAGAGGATGGTGGCCATGGAGCATGCAGGGACATTATGGTGAAGACAGTGTCTTATGATGATTGGTACAAGCGATTGGCAATCTACCAGGTACACTCTGACTTTCATGTCAGGAACATGTGCCATCTAGTTTCTCAGGGAATGAGAAGGGAATTGGAAGTGGCATAGAAGTGAGGCAAATTGGACTAATAATGAATTGGAAATAGGTAGGTACTAGGTAGGCAAGATTATGAAGTCGCCATTTTAAGCTTAAGGGGGAACTTAAGGATGTTCATTCTTGCTGTATTTTCTCAACTTCCTTGCCACTCCTCAAGCCACACTGAGGAAGGGTGAATTTCACCTTTCAGTCTGTTGAAAATCCAGCATTCAGATTTTGCAGCAAGTCGATTCATCCACTTTGTTTGGAAACAGCCAGACGCCAGGTTGCGAATGGTTTCCGTTTTGGAGTCCGTTCACAAGTCGGTTTTAACACACGTCAGAACACAGTGCAGGACAATATACAGGAGCTGTTTGTAAGTACAGGAAATTTTCATATATTTAAAATGACACCCATGTATGGGATCACGTTTGTAAGTATAAAGGTTTGTAAGTTGGATACTCATAAAACAGGGGCCCCTGTACTTAATTTGTGTTCTTCAAGAGCCGTTAAATACTATCAGCTTTACACCATTAAGAAGCAACATACGAAAAAGTGTGTTTTCCATCAAAAACGATCAAAACTTGGTTTTCAACTTTGATGTTGCTTTGATGTCTTAATGAGACATTTACATAGCACTAACTCCACATTAGCTGATGTTGTGTTTGGAGAATCTGGCTCCAATTCATGTTCCTTTGGAGTGCAGCTCCCGGTTGGAAGCACAGATTGCAAGGTGACACCCAGATTACCAGAAAAATCTCTTAAGTGGAGAAATTAGTTTGAACACTTTATGAGAGACTGGGAGCTAGTTAATATATTTTTCTTTTTCCTCTAAGATGTGGGCTCAGACAGATTTTGAACGGGTGTTGCCAAAGACTGACTCTGAGATACATTTGGACTGTCTCAACTGAACGGGAAGTGGCTTAATTGCCCCTGATAAGGTGTTCATTCATTGTTCTCACTTATTATAAAGCAAGGTTTTATAGGATGGGTGTGTTTTGCACTGTTTCTTTCGATCTGTGGTAAAACATGATACCCTGGAACAGGGGTCAGTGTGAATTTCTATCAGTCTCTGCCCATCAACGGGCCAGGTGATGGTTTCCATAGAGATCAGTACCTAGGTAAAGACTTGCTGATACCCTAGTGCTGAATTTCACACCTGAAGGCAAAGATGAAGGCAGCAGTTCATGCTCTAAAAACTCTGACACAGAGAGAAAGGGCAATAGAGTCCTAAGGAGAGAGACCGGAACATCAGTGCTGAGGTCAGAAGCTGTTTTTCTCTGTTAACTACCAGATAAAACACAAATAAAAAGACATTTTTCTGGTTGAAGAGAATCTTTTGGAAATTCAAAATCATTGGAAAATTTGTCCTAGCATGTCAAGGCATGGAATCACAAGAGTTTTGGTTAGGGATTTTTAGGAAGACTGAGGAAAAGGACTTTCTGTGATTATTGGACATTACAACTCAGTTTAATGGAGACAAATGGAAACCCATTGGGAGCTGGGAATAGCTTCTGTCTGTTTCAAATTGGAAAAGAAGTGAATGTACTGTAGCCAAATTTGCAGACGATATTGAAATAAATGAGAGGGTCACAAATAGCTTACAGAGAGATGTTGGTAGGTTAAGTAAGTGGGCAAAAGGTTGTCAAATGGAGTATAATGTGGGAAAATGTGAAGTTGCTCATCTTAGAAGGGAGAACAAAAGAACAGAGTATTATTTAAATGGAGAGAAACTGCAGAAAGCTGTAACACAAAGGGACTTGGATACTTGTGCATGAAACACAGAAAGCTAGCATACAGGTACAGCAGGTAATCAGGAAGGCTAATGGAATCTTGGCGCTAGCCTCAAATGTGTTAGAGTATAAGAGTGGGGAAGTCTTACTGCAATTGTACAAGGTGCTAATGAGATCACATCTGGAATACAGTGTGCAGTTTTGGTCCCCTTATTTAAGGAATGATATTTCATAAGAGGCATTTCAGAGAAGGTTCACTGGGATAATCACTGGTATGGAGAGATTGTCTTATGAGCAAAGGCTAACCAGGTTGAGACTTTACTGCATGGAGTTAAGAAGAATATGAGAGGCAATTTCATTTAAACATATCAGATTCTTAAGGGACTTGGCAAGATAAATGCTGAGAGGACATGGGAGAGTCTAGGATAAGAACGCATGGTGTCTGAATAAAGGAACACCAATTTAAGATGGAGATGAGGAAGAATTTCTTCTCTGAGAGGACTGAGAGTCCTTGGAACTCCTTGCCACAGAGAGCTGTGGGGGGCAGAGTCCTTGTGCATATTTAAGGCTGAGATGGATTCTTGATCAGTTAGGAATTGAAGGGTTATTAGGAAAGGGCAGGAAAGTGGATGTGAGGAATGATCCTACTGAATGGACAGACTGCTCCTGTTCCCATTTCGTACTGTCTTCTGGTCTAAGATTATAATTCTGTGGAGATCATGACATAAAATGCAGTATGGGGTTATTGAGTAGGTTAACATGCTAATAAGCGATGTCTTTCTGTAGTTGACAATACTAGTTTCCTACTAAATAATGTTTAATCTATGTTGATTTTACTTTGCTAATTACAGTAAATGTTTTAAAACTTGAACTCCTCTTGTATGATTCATTTGAGTTGGCCATTGAAAATGTAAGTGTTTTTCTATAAGTTATCAGTTTCTAAGGCGATTGTAATGTCTTCAAGGCTATTGAAAAAAATCACACTACCACAATAAGATTGTTCTTCTGAAGTTGGAGAAGGAGCAAGTACATTTCTTGCTTTGAATAACTTGTAATTTATTCCCAAAGATTGTATTTGACCAAGGACTTGATGCTGAACACAGGTGGTTTAAATGTTAAACATACCCAAACAGTTTTGTTGCCTAAAGTGACATTATATTGGGAAAATCAAAACTTTTCAGAAAAGTATTTAAAAACCAAGTCAGAAAATATAAGTTTGCTCAAGAAAAAAAACACATTTTGTTGAAGCTTTGTGCTTTGAACTAATTAGGGCAATTTACAAGAATATCAATTTGAGGGGAAAACTGCATTGAAGGAGAGTGCTTTTGGTTGGCAAGTGGACTTTTGTAGGGGATTTGCATTAAAGAAAATGTGCCAATTAATGATGATTGAAGTTAACTGACAGGCTTTGATTAAAGTTTAAACCAGATGGATTGACTCTGACTGGTCAGTGCATTGCCTGAGAAATGAGCCAGCAAATTGCTGTCACCTACTTTGTTGAGTTGAAACAGACATGGTGTGTATATGATCGTTCTGTCAATAAATACACACACGCACCACACTTCAAGCCCAACTGACAACCCCAAATTAGTTATCACTGTAATTCTTCACGCATTCAGGATTATGTTGCAAATGATGTCCAATTGCAGAATCCTATCTAATGTTGGGTACTGTGTTGTAAGTTGGTTGTGTACAGTCAGAGCCTTACTTTCTTCAGCAATTCTCAAGTTTTGGACTGCCAATACAAACTTGCACAATTCAGACATTTGAGGTTAACTACCTGAAATGCATCCAGGCCTTATGCAATCAAATAATGTCATTGTGATTTTAATGGTAATTGTGAATATATATGATTTTCCCCTTTACTGTTTTCACAGACTGCCCAGACTGTGATGCTGCTTGTTGCTGTGTTTCTTCTGTCTTGGCTGCCTCACCATATCATAAACATGTGGGTTGAATTTGGGTATTTTCCCCTAAACGATGCATCGTTTGCCTTCAGGATCATCTCTCACTGCATGACGTACGGGAACTCCTGCATCAACCCCATAATGTATGCATTCCTCTCAGAAAATTTTCGGAAAGCCAGCCGCCAAGTCTTCAGGTGTAAATTTCTTTTCCCACAACCCATTGAGGAGAAGGTGGTTAGGATTCGGATGGAGAACTTTTCGACAACCCCTTCAACAACAAATGCTTGAAGCTATAGCATTTTGATCTGAGTATTGTGACCAAGCATGGAGGCCATGTCTGTGCACTTATGAAATTGCACATCCAATGAGAGCGAGCAGTCAAAATACTGGATCAAGAATTCAAATGTTTAGAACAGTCGATGACGATGCCATCAGATGTCAGCGTTGTGTTGACCCAGAAGGTTCAAGTCTCAAGGAACATTCATGATATAGAAATTAAAAAGGGGCATCAATTTTAAAGCATTTGACGTGAATAACCTGACATGTCTAAAATGTTTCCAGGCATCTTCTGAAAACGCATTAAAGGCTTGGAAATAGTTAATAAGAGTTCTGATTTGTCTGCTTGGGGGCTGTGTAGGTGTGAAGTGTTCATACCCTTCCCCACCCACCTCAGTTTGAGTTATGGAGATTTGGTGAGATTAAGTAAACCACTCAAGAAATTTCTAATCACTTATATAACTGGATTTTTTTAGAATGATGGTGTATTGACACCAAAATTGAAGTTACACTGAATACTGTCATTTCTATGGCAATTATAGTGTTTTGTATTATTTAATATTGAAAGTTTTGTCTGTTGCTTGTAAACGTGGGTGACAACTAGCTTAATTTGAATCTAGTTGAATTCCAGTCTGGTTTCTAAATTCAGTTTGTTTTGATGTAGATGAGATATGGTTGAGTCGAGTTGATTTAATTTCATTCAGTCAAACTTGATCATTGGTATAAGAAGCTTGAAATTCTAAGAAAGGAACTAGAGTTTCATTAATCGATGCTGCCATAGTTTCACCAAATAAATTCAATAAATAATTATGATGGTGACTAAACAGATAAGAAAAATTTGAAATCAGTAGCTCTAATCAAGGCCATTGTACTGTAGTTCTGACAAAGAGATTTTCATTAGAAATTTCTGAACCAAGTGATTTTGTCTATTTAAGAGCAATGAATTATTAATCTCACTTTGACTGTTCAAAGTTTAGCACAATTACACAATGACTGTATTGAAGAAGATTAACATTTGCAGCAGTTAGTAAAACTGATTCCAACTTTGTAGAAGAGCGGTCCATACAAAGATTTTGTATCTAGTTCTCTGGGTTTCAACCTAATCTATGCTACTGGGAATACAGTCTATCTAAGCTATTAAAGGTCCTAAGTAAATATATTTGTGCATTTTCAGTTTAGTTTAAAGTGGACATCCATCTGCTTATGATTTGGCCTTTACTAGCAGTTCCTCTCAAGCCTCAAAGGTGACTTAGTCATACAGCATGGATACAGACCCTTCGGTCCAACTCATCCATGCCGACCAGATATCCTAAACTGATCTAATCCCATTTGTCAGCATTTGTCCCATATCCCTGTAAACCCTTCCTATTCATATACCCATCCAGATGCTTTTTAAATGTTGTAACTGTACCAATCTCCAGCACTTCCTCTGGCAGCTCGTTCCATACATGCACCACCCGCCGCATGATAAAGTTACCTCTAAGTTCCTTTTTAAAATCTTTCCCTTCTCACCTTAAACCTACACTGTCGAGTTTTGGACTCCCCCATCCCATGAAAAAGACCTCGGCTTTTCACCCTATCCATGCCCTTCGTGATTTGATAAGCCTCAATAAGGTCACCCCTCAAGTAATGCTGCTGGGGTTGATGAAGAGAAGAGACTTTATAAGCCATATTATTATTGCCTGAACTGATTTGTTCACAAATACTACTTCACCTTTAGGACCACAGAGGGAAACAAGTAGGGGTTAATGAATAGTCTGTATTTCAAGTTTACAGATAAAATCTGTTTTCTTTCCAATATGTTTAATTTTTCTGCATACTCCAGTGGTTGAAACTACTTGCCAAAGAGTAGAACAATGGCCTTAAATAACAAACAACTAATTTACCATAGATTTTCCTTTCTTTTAGAGGTGGAAGTGTCAAAAGTTCATACTTTCTATTCGTGAGATGCATTATTCAGATTGTGTGTGCAGAACAGTGTGGTATGCAGTAGGCAAATGAGTTGTTTCTGTTCAAGCTGTGATTAATATTTCTTAATAGGTAATGGTTTTAATTCTGTGTCCCGTGCAGAGAGACATTGCAACTGCAGAAACTATGGCACCAGGAGTAAGCACAGCAAACCAGAGGTTTTCCTTAAATGATCTTTACTACAAGTCGCATCAGTGGTGATGCATTATGATGACCAATACTTTGTGAAAGCAAGGAAAATAACGCATTGCTTTAAAGAAATAATACATAATTGTACATAATAGTACTGAGAATAAAATAGTGTGGCAGTAGAGCTGTTTAAAAAATAAATAGTCCCATTATGATCACACATATTGATCTTCCTGACAAAGGCTTTAGTGTTATTTTTCAACACTTTGTCGCTAAGAAAATTGGACAAGTAAACCCCTAGTTTTAGAAAACAAGTTTTCCCTCTTGTCCTAGTCCTGTGATTTTCTAGTTGCCTGCTAAAAATCACTACAAACCAGAGAGAGCCTCATTAAATCCCCAAATTCTATTCAAATAAAGGGATTTATCAGCTTTCCATCACTTAATTTGGGAAATGTATTAAAACATCAATGAACTTTATTTATATAAAACAGATTAATCTACTGTGTTAATGTCTTCAGTAATATGTATCTTCATTAGTTGCTACTTAGAGTTGCCAGTGTTTCAATTCTGACTTTGCAAATGATATTTCTTCATTTACTCTGGTGCATTTCAGGAAGCTCAAAGAATTTAAAGTTTAGAGAAATTTAGCAACTGGGGGCAAAAAAAATGACACAGTTGTTCCCCTTTTGCTCAAGAAAGAAGCACCAGGCAAAAGTGAAGACAAGTCAAATTTAGAACTCAAACGGGATCTATGGGCCAATATTGGAAGTTAGAATGTACATAACCCATTTAATGACAGGCTCAACACTGCTTTTTGAGGCAGATATGGTTGATATTGCTGGGCAATGATAGAAGTGTATTATCAAGCAGGTTCTCATGGATAAAACAAGATATTGTCATTCAAGTTATTAAGCAGAGATGCTCAGTATTCCATTGCTAGACTATTTAACTTTTCAATTTTTATGCCATGTATAATTATATAATTTATAATTGACTCATAAACCACTTGTACTGAGAGCATTGTTTAAGTTTTACATTGGCAGCTTCTCACATTCAGATAATCAAATTGTACACTCAGATGAGCTTGCAGCCATATAATCCTGTTCACAAATTAGTGCAACAATTAATTTTCCTCTGCCATGCAAAACTATTGCTTGTTATGTCCAAGTTAAGTTTAAAGACTTTAAAAGTATTTTTAAATCTTTGGATTTTTAATCTCCAGCATTTCTTTCTCAGCTACAATATGTGAAAATATATATGAAATTGTAATTCAGAACATCCTTTATTATTATAGAACCATATACGACTGATCTGTTTTGAAGCCTATACTTAAGAGATTGAGTTACAATCCACATACTTTGTGCCTTGGCTTCTTGCCCTTGGTTCTATTCAAATTGATTCTAGTTCCATGATTAGCAAAACCTAGTGCTACAGAGGTTACAATAACAGAGTAGGCTGGAAAACACAGCAGGTCTGGTAGCATCTGTGCAGAGAAAAGCAGTTGACATTTCAAGCCCTGTTACCTTTTATCAGAATGTGCAGAGGTTAAACTGGGTGCATGTGTAAATGAAACTTGAGAGGCTCCTTCATTTGCACTTCATCAGCTCTTAAACAAATCACTGTCAAGTATGAATTTAAACTATGACTTCACCGTATGCCTCAAAAAAACTGAATAAATTCTGTGGAAGAAAATAAGTATTTGGAATGTGAATAGAGATGTATGCTTAAAGTTCCATGTGTAGATCGTAAGACAAAAAAAAAGCCTGAAATTTCAATAGCAAAAAGATCTAAAGTGATGTCCAGAAAGGAAAATGTCATTTGATCAGAGCTGAAAAGTTACAGAGATCACTTTTAGAGGGCAAATTGGAGGGCAGCAGAAAGAGGGGTTGGCCTAGGCATTGTTGGATGATGATAACACTGACACAGCGTGGTTGAGAAAAGCTACAGTGGGTGTGAGAGGATAGTGCAAGGCAGACATTCATGACATGCTGTGACAAATCTCCTGGCAGGAGTGGCTCCAAGCAGCAAAAACACGCTTTTCAATAGGACTTTAATAATTAACTGTAAATGCCATTAAATCTGTTAGTTCAACACTGCAGCCTTGTGTTCTGTGATTCTGATTAAAAACCAGCCCAACGAGTTCTAACGTAACCTGCTGTGGTGGGATCACAGTGGCTGGGCCCACCTCAGGCTGGGAGAAGCTACATGTCTGCCTCCTAGCGGTTTGAAAATCTCCTGATATTAAGGTAGAGGCAGGAACAGCCCATGAGGACAACTTGCCTGCTTGCAGGATGTTGTCATTTAGGTTTACAATTGAGATATTGACATCAATCATCTGAGCCCATGCCAATTTGATGGTAGCTCTGGGATTACGTGCAAGTGGAACAAAGGCCAAAGGGCACCTATGGTGAAGGCCACTCCCTGTCCTTGCCGCTGACCTCCCTAGCCGCTTCCACTGACTCCTTAACCACAACTCGATTCCACCTCCTGTAACCCATGTACCTCAGTGATCCTAGGTCTCTCCCTGGGTGCAGTACTGGCAGTAGCTATTGCTCTCAATGACGTTTGTGGGGAGAAAAAGCCTTCTGAGTGGAGTCCTGGAAAACCAAGAGTCTGGACAGTTAAATGCTTCTGGCTGGATCTTCACCTCAGCAGCAATACAACAAGTACACCAATCCACATGAGTTACATTAAGCTGTGCTCATTGGTTCTTTCCGTTGTTAAAAGTTAGTATCTTTAAAACCCCATTTAAAAGTCTGTGTTTTGTAAGGGATAAAGCATTTTTGTACACATAACAGATTAGATGCTCTACTTTTCGTACCAGTTGGTGTTGAAAGTCATATTGTACACTACTGGACACCAAGATATTTTCATTACTCTTTGATATTCATGAGCTTCTTAATTAGTTCAACCAG